TCCTTAAAAACTAGCCTATTGCTCTATTGCTGATTAAAAGTCGTAATTTCGCAAGTTGTCATTTTAAGCTTTAGTCGGGGTTGGCAAATGATCGAATCGACAAAAATAAATGGATAGCTTTAGTTACCAAATGGAAAGCTAATCCCGAAAATGAAGTGCCACAACTAAAAAGGAAAATTGACGAATTTGGTAAGAATTAGTAGAAATAATCACTGCTTAATCAGTAGAAAATAAGTGAGCGAAAATCGATTTACTCAGCTCTGCTGTCTGAGAAGGATTTGAGTATTTTACGTCTATTTCATTTATGGTTTGCTTTTTCACAGTAACAACTTACACTTTTAAGTTTCCAAACATTTGTTTAAAAAATCCAGTAATTTGTCATAACGTGTTGTCAGAATCTGAATTTAGATAAGAAACTTTTGGAAAATAGTCCTGCCTTGAAATAAAAGAGGTGAAGAACTAGCACGTGATCCAAAGTGTACGCGAAAGGCTGTCGCACAATAATTGGAGGCAGTGCAATTAACGAGTGATTCGGTGAGATGGCAAAAAAGCAACTTTTTTGTAACATCAGCTATTTGAAAGAAAGTTTCTTCAAATTCCAGTTTTGTCGACTGTCGCAAGCAGTCTCACATCTGTTTTTGTTCCGCGTGGTCATCCTACTCCTCTGATATGGCTTATGAGGCAATCTTTAGATTTCTTGATCGGTTGTCTCGGAAGTCAACTTTGAGATTGAACGTTTCAAAAAATGTTGTATGCGTTGAATGTGTTCAAGGAATGCTTCATTACACTCTGAAATTCTTCTACTAAAGTCATTAACGTTTACTTGATAGCGTTGCCGTACAGAAACGTACAGCAACGAGTAAGATACATTGTCAAAACTTCAGAAAAACAGATTCATTTATGTCCATTAACCAACAGGTCTTATTACAGAAAGACTAACCTGTTACTCACCTGTTTTACTGACTTCTTCTGTATTTGTTCAGACTTAATCTCAAAATTTTTTTATGGGAACTTAAGTTAGTTGAAAAAACACAAGTATACTTTTTTTACGATGATTTCCAAAGAGCAGTTGTGTGCAATAGACTGTGAAACAAAGTATCTACGCCCGAAGATGTTTTTAGCAACCTGTTCAGTATCCACTGGCCTTGTCAGTCTTTTTGGAGAGCTAATAGGCAGATAAATTAATGAATATTTTTTAGTGACTTTTAAGCCGTGTATACTTTTTCATTAAACTTCTTTTTCAGTTTATTTGATTATTGACGCTTTCAAAAGATAATCTTAAAAAAGATGAACAAAAAAACTTAAAAACTAGCACCAGTTGACAAATCTTAATTTTAAAAGCAGATTTTATAAAATGTGAATTTGAATGTTGTCTTTTTTTTTGTAGCGATAAACATTTATTCCAAATACTGGTCAAATAAACATTATATTATTACTCATAGATTTAAGAGAAAATCTTTGAGATGACAAGGTACATCATTTATTTTACTTACTAATAAAAGTGACCAATTAAAGAAACTTGATACGTAATAAACTGTAGGATAATATGCGGGGTTAGAAACAAAAAACTGTACCGTAAACATAGTCCCATCCCTAACAGACAATTAAGAAAGTCAGAGCAGAACATTGTTATTAAATCGTACAGACTTAACGAAAAGTGATATAAGAAACGAAAAAGTATAAAATAAAAATTAAATAAAAACAATCTCATTAGTAGGAGAAAAATAGGTATTTAATTGAAAAATATGAATCATCTAAGTGGGCGACAATGGAATTTTTTAATTCCTTCTTTTGGCCGTAAAACAATGTAAATTTATAAGTTTTACGTCTTTCCAGTATTCATTTAGGCAGCATATTCATGGTCAGAATTGTTAAATTTGAAAGTTTTTGAAGATTTAGATGAAAAAAAAGATGTTGACAAATGAAGTTTCAAAGACATTAGACTTTTGTTATCAGTCATTTGGTGTGAAAATAAATCGCTAAATTAGTGAAAAAATTTGCTGCCTGACAGAGAAAGTGAAAGCAGAAAGTTAAAACGATAAACATCCTCAAGATTAATGGAGATGGGAGGCAAAGGCACAGCTGTCTTTGGCTTCCAACTACTGCGATTATTGGAGAGGCTCCACAATCTGTGTGACGTTTTGCTTTCTGTGAAATGAGACTAACACGGACAATTACGATCCAGCACTGTTCTCCATCTCCGGTATTGACAAAAAGAATTCGATGACTTCGATTGTTAGATAAGCTGGGAAAATCTAGGAATAGTTGCTGTAAAAATACGATAGCATAATCTCAGGTTTCTAAACATATTCTGCCAAAAAATCAGTTTGATTGCAGTAATACGAGGATTAATGGTCGGTATAAAAAGAAAAGTAAGTCAAATTAGCTTTCTTCTGCTTAAGATTGCTTTTCCTCAACCTTTACTCATCCGCAATCGGCTTCTAAAAACTCTTCTCCACGCAACCATTAAATGTTCGATAAGTCGGAAACCTGTAGTATTTCGTATGTCGGTAATTTAGAAATTACTAAAACATTATATTTTGAGAATTTTTACTACTTTGAGACCCGCATGGCGCGATATCGCAAACTATCTGAACAACTATCTGCATACAGATGCTGCAACAAGAATTATTTGAGCGTTCACTGGAAAAAGTATTTTACACTTCCAAAAAGTTAAATGCAACAACAGATACGGAAAACTGTAGAAATTTACTCTTTGAAAAACAGAAGAAAAGCTACGAAACTTTGAAGCACTAGTATAATTTTAGCTGCTGTCACTAAGGTCATTAATTGACAAACACGGTTTTGTTTAGGCCCATATTACAAAGAAATGCGGTGTCCAGTTTTATCCACTGGTAAATCATAAAATAAATTTGACTGCTCAAAACAGTCGCAAATTTCCAAAATTGCAACTAAAACTTATAATATTATCTTTCGACGTCAAGTGATTTACAAAAAAATATAGGTCCCGAAATTTTTTTAAACTAAGTAATGGCTTCTTAAGTTTTGTATTTCGCGATAAGATTTGGTAGGCTAGACTACTTTCATCCTCCAACGTTATTTTTTGACTTATGAGGAACAAATATCAATTTTAAAAAAATTTTGGCTACATTTACCCTGGCAGCCAGATTATATGAATATCATATACAGTATTTATGACTTCATTAAAGAAACCTGAATCACCTCTCTTTCGTGCTTGAGAAAACAACTCTCCTAGAATTAGCCGAAAATGAATAAGTAGCAAGCAGAAATTTAATCAACAGTCCACAAACATTCTTCCGACTGAGAAAGAAAATCGATCTGGCTCAATTACTCAACTTTGAGAGCACCGCGGAAAAGACGGTTTTTATGACATCCCCTCAAAAAATGGTGCCGCCAACAATTGCTTTTCACTAAAAATGGAATAAAGCTGAGAGAACAGCAAAAGTTTTTTTAAAAAATTTTTGCACGATTGGTTTGCAAAACAAGGAAAGGTGAGTGAGGAACCAAACAAAGTGAGTGGATCTCGTGAAGCGGATTTGATAACATGCGACAGCTTCTATGCATTCAGCAGATCTCTCCATTAATCAATTTTAATGGGTGATGCTCATTCTCTACGCCTCTATTTACCCAATAAACCTGTCCATACTTGAACGTTTAACTGTACAAAAAACCTCATGTGAGATAATTTCTAGCTGTGTCGGTTGTTAGCAGCCCGACTATGTGAGTGCTGTTCGACTTCTGACTTGTGCAGGGCTCAACATCGTGTATTTTTTGATGGCTGTAAGTAGTACGTCCAATCAGCAGGTTGACTAATACGTAAGCGATAATTGAATTTGCAGATTTTCATTTGGACTGCTGTTTCATCTAACGCCTAACGTTTGAAAAACTTTTTCGCTCAAATGGCGTTGATAAGACTAATTAGGAAGCGGTAAAAAGTTATAGACTATTTTCAAAGAGTGGAAAAAAACATTTTTTGCACTGAAATCCTTTATTTACCCATATGAAGGTGGTTAATAATGAAAGAAGGCTTGAAAGCAGATGCATTAACACTAAAAAGTCCAATTTCTTTAGTGGTGATAGTTGGAAAAGAGAGTCTCGGAAAAGTGCCAAAAACTGGTCAATTGCCAGGCGTTCGCTGCAACCGAATTGAGTTTGCTGAGATTCTCTGGAAAAGTAATGTTTGCAAATGTCGTCAAGAAATTGAACTCAGTTTTTTTAGGGGCTGTATTGAAGAGAGTTGAACTTGATTGGAACTGTGAAGCAAATATCATTGTTTTAGTGGTGACGAGTCCTCTGATCGAAGTATATCATAAGTCACTTGTACAGTTATTGTTGACTGGGTTCATGTTTTTGGGGGGCTTTTTTAATTGATGTCACTGAAGCGGAAGGATGATGAAGGAGGTATTTGGTCTTGATCAGGAATTCTCTTTTGAAGAATTTTTAATACCTTAATTCATCCATACGTCTGGAGTGACTTCTAACTTTCATTTTTTCTATTGTGTTTTTGTTTTTTTACGGGTCTTGTCCATCAGCAGATTTTAGTTTGTTTGCTTTAAATTGGAGGTTACTTGTTTGTTTTTGTTTTATATAGTTCTAAGTTTATATCGTGTCGTTCTATCGTTTTAGTGGCTTTAGTACTGTAGTTGTATTAAAAAGAGCAGCGAAACTGTATCTGGTGAGTCTTCTTTGATAATAATTGTATTTTTAACTGCTTTATCGGATTCCTTAGTATACTCTCCGGATTGCTCTAATCGAGGAGTGTTTGACAGATAAAAATGTTGAGTTACCGTACGCCATTTGTGGTCTTTTAATCAGTTCGAATAATGTGATCATAAAAGATTTTCTTTTGCACTAAGTTTTCAGCCGGTAGGGTTTATTCATCGTCAGCATAGCACCCTTGATCTCTGCGAATAATACGCCACAGTAGTCAGAATTGTACAGATCTGTCACAACTTGGCTGCTACTGTGAGCCTAAAAATCGTAGCTTGTAGTGATAATTGAAAAAGAAGTAAGATCCTATGGAATGGGTGGAGAGTGTTATGGTGAACACCTTCTTTGAAAAAGATGTCGGTTAGCCTTGTGTAGGACTTTAGTGTTTTTTCTGATTGTCGAAACGCAGCCACGTGATTTGTAGTACTCAAAATGAGGCTTTCATGTAATATTGCTATAAAATCTTTTAGGAAATGGGAATTGGTAACAATGTTCTAGTAACGTGTAAACGGAAAGATGCGCGGCAAAAGATGAAAAGATTGAAAAAAATACAAAAAGCTGCTTTTGCCACAGGAAAGAAGGTAAGTTTTTTGGCATTTTTGAAAAGGCGATGATCTTGTCTCAATTTTTTATAGGTACACACTGATTCTCACTGTAATGCGGTTTATGTGTAAAATGGCTTTTTTATTCTCTGTACCAGTGAAAACAGGGTTCCACATACTCCGACTAGCGCTCTTCTGTTATACATAAATTAGTGGGGTGTTCAGAGTGGTCGAACCTTTTTTATCTTTTGCGTACCTAGAATACTCCAACATTGAAGAAAAAAGAATGAAACTCTGCATCGAGTTATAATTTGCATAAAAGAATAGCATGTTGCGTTTTTGTTAAAAATAATGGAAGTGCAGAGTAAAAAGACAGAAACCAAAGATTGCGACAATTTATCGGAAAAATTTACAAAAGAAAAATAAGAAGTGGTGTGTAATTCTTATATTTTTAATTTTATAATTAGATTTCAAACGACCACTGAAATAGTCAAGACAACTTGATTACTTTGAGTTGCTAAAAATTTTCTTTTTTTAGTGATTTATTAAGTAATTTCAAGTAGCTTTTACTGCAGAATTTTGCTTTACAGGTTGAAAGTGTTATCTTTGAGTCGTTTGCTCAAAAAAACAGCAGAGAAAAGAAAAAAAAGAGGTTGAAGCGGAAAAGGAAATCATTTAAAGAACTAAATGGATCTAGTGCGTTGAAAGTAAGGTTTAAAAAAATCTTCACTTGTAGATTTAAGTCATTCTGCAACTGTTAAAGTCTCTTTTTGGTCTTGCATCGGAAATTGGGCTGTCAGTTATAGAAAATTGAAAAGTTAAGATTGATTATGCATTTTTGACTTTAGTCTAACACCTTTTAAATTTGTTTTTTTTTACGTTAAAGAAAGAGGAATTTTTTTGGGAAGTAGGGGTTGAAAGTTAGGAATTTTAAAAATTAGCCTGAATCGAAGTAGGTGTTTTGTTTGTTTTGTTTTGCCTATCGCTTTGTTTATGGTATAAACAGTTAAATCATTTGCCTTTTTTAATTCATAGTAGACACTTAGGATGGTAACAGTCAAAAATTAGAATTAGTACGAGGCATTGAAGATGACGAAGCAGAATTAGAGCGTTTATCAAAAAAACTTGGATATCGCAGAACAAGAAGTCAAAAGCTGCCAAGAGCATTCAATGCCGAGGGGCTTGACTGTTAGTGCACTTTCGTTTCTTTCCGGATTTTTTTACTTTTCCAAACTCACTTTGTATACCTTGTTTGCCTTCTTTTTAAAAAGTTTTTTTAGACCTCTTGGAGGTATGTGATAATATCAAAAAGTCGGAAGCCTGGTACTCCTCACCAAAAAATGAAGATTCCGTGGAACAAGGGTTTTCGTTAGTGTCTGAAAGCAGTTCACTTCTTGAGGAGGACTGCGAGGGGGAATTTGAGACAGATGACGAGAAGGAAATTGAAGAACATGTGCGAAGTATTTTATTCATTTTTTCGTTCCTTAAAGTATATGTTTTCCAGTTCTTTTTTAGAAAGCAGAAAGTAGTGGCGGAGAAGAATTCACAGAAGACATTTACGGCAGAACAGTGGCTAAGAAAACTGGAATGGTAATCGTACCTACTTCTAATGTTCAAAAAAAATTTCGAGAATTTAGAGAGGACAACATTGTTACTGACGATGAAGAAAGAGAAAAATTAGAAAGGACTTTAAGAGGATTAGTTAACAGATTGAATGAAAATACAATTGTGGGTTCGGTGAAAACTGTGAAGGAGCTTTTTTCGTCTCACAGCCATAATAGTGAGTTCCAGTTTTTGTAGTTTCAAATTTAATGGCTTAGAAAATGATTGCTTATTGACTAACAACATTTTTGAAGATGTTAAGAGCCTCCTGTATCTTTCTTTACTGAATATCGTTGTTGTCGAATATCGCCTCCCTGACCGTATTTTGATCGAACTTGCATTGTTTATTGCTTTATTGCATATTCTGGTGTCGGCTGACATCTGTAAGTCGCTAAGAATTAGATTTTTTTGCATTTTCACCAACTTTTTATATTTTTAGTCCATAAATAACATGTGACTTTGGCGAAACGTTTATATCAAAAGATCTGTTCTGTAAAATCATTTTTTTGTGTTTGTACAGTATCGCTTTCTCTAGCTTCCCATTTCGTCGAGAGTTTTGTTTTGGAATATTTGAAGAGGATGCAACTTCTAGGCGAAGACAAGTCATTGGAAAATATGTCGCTGCTGTTAGCAGAACTTTTTAACTTCAAGGTTTCTGGATGCTATCTCTCCTACCATTCTCTTCCTCCCGGTTCTCTTACAACCATAATTCTGCTACGGTATTTTTAGGTGATTAAAAGCACTGTAATCGGTGATGTAGTTGATCGCTTGGTTGGAGCTGGCGGATATAAAGCTTTGGAGTGCGCAAAACTGCTTTTAGCTTGTGAGTTCTCAGTCGTGTTTCTCAAACTTTTTTAAATGGCACTCTAGGGGTTTTTAAATAAGACTGGTTTCTGGTAAATTCGTTTGAGAGAGCTCGCAGAGCATTGAATTCTTTGTTTTTTTTTTCAACGAATTTTTATTGACGTAAGTATTGAGGTAGTTCTGAGAGACTGTTCTAACTATGCGTTTCGTAGCAATCTCATTTACGTCATCGATTTTCCAACGAAAAATAAAAAATATTATTGAAAGTCGATTAACTGCTGTGAAAACTATTTTTTAGATTTGTCTGTCTGGTATTTATTTTTTGCTTATTCACTTAATCTTATTCAATTTTTAACTTCTCAAAAGATTTAGAATTGCAGATGCGGGAGTTCTTCTTAAAAAGCGAGACTGTAGTGCTTTGCAAGCCTGTATCGTCAGGGTGCAAAGTTCCTTAATGGAACATGCTAAAGAAGTGGTCAAAGAGTGGGTGTTGTTTTGATTCTATTTTCTTTGATTGACATTTTTTACGGCACAGTAATTGTTTCAGCCAACATCTTCAGTTTATTGTTGAGGAATTCCTTAACCTAAAAGGTGCGAATATTCGGAAATGGACAGAATCTATCGATTTTTCACTCCTCGAGCATTACATGAGCTTGTATCGTGGTCTTACTAAAAGTATTTTTTATTTCATGGTAGCAGTTAAATCGTCATTTTGATAACCATTATGAGGGATTTAAGACACCTGTTTCAAGAGGTAGATAGAGAGGACGAACTGGGTATGAGCGTTGATGACATTGAACATGTAAAAGAAAGGGGTCGTTGGTGGCTTATCGGTTCAGCTTGGAATGAAGCTTCACATATTACGTCTGTTCCTGGTGCAGGAAATCTTACAGTAAAGGAACCAAAGTTTGATAAACCTCTATTGGATTTGGCTAAGAAGGCAAAAATGAACACATCAGTAAGGCGAGATGTCTTTTGCACGTTAATGTCTTCCAAGGTGGGTACTTCGAGTGACCAAACCTGTTTTTGCTTTATTATGCAGCTATTAGTCTTGCTTCTCATCCATGTTTTACATATGCATATCTGATTTTCTTTCTTAACTGCAGAATGAATCAGACGCTTTTGAGAAACTGATGCGGTTAGCATTGAAAGGTCAGCAGGAGAGAGAAATTATACATATTTGCATCCACTGCGCTCTTCAAGAAACCAAATACAATTCATTTTATTCTGCTGTTATAGAACAGTTCTGTTTGTTTCATAAAAGGTTTAAGGTAATTTTTCTAAAGCTACTATGTTTACTTCCACTGTTTTTCATTTACTTTCACTGGATTAATTCCGTTTTTTCTTTTCGTTAAATAAAAACCTACTTACATTGGTGACTGTTTGAGTTAACGGCGCAGTACGCCTTATGGGATCGGATAAAAAATTTATCGACGTTTAAAGAGTGGCAGCGATCGCACCTTGCTACGTTAACAGTTGATATGATTGTTAACAAAGCTGTTGGGTTAACCGTCTTAAAGGTACTTATATTAATTCGCATTTCGAGGTTTACATTTTCATAGACTCGGTTTAAGCCCTCAAATTTCTTTTACTTGGTTTATTTTGGAAAAACGGACGGCGCAGAAGTAGTTTTAAAGATGATTTCGTTTTTAAGGTAACCTCAGCTGGACAGTGTTTTTTTCTTTAACTCGTTAACTGTAATTTCGAAGTGGGAAAAAATTTTAAGAGTGGTCCATTCGCGCTTATTTTTGTTTAGTACTTGAATGAGTGGTTTACTTTCATTGTTTAACTTTATTCAGTTGGTGGGAAGGGAAGTTTTAGATTTTAACGTAAAACTCCCCAAATGAAATTGTAAATTGGTGTGGAAACAAAGGGGCAAAGGGATATGTTGCATAGCTTACTTCTCGAAAAAATTACCTTTATTCTTTTTCAACTCTTTCTTGTGTAACGTCTTCACTTCTAAGAATCACGATCTATGAACTGCAAGTCAACAAAAAACAGGCTGATTTTGTTCCTTGTTTGAGAAGGAAGGGATTTGAGCAGTGGGTTTTTCCGAATTTTTCCCCTGAAATTTTCAAGTTGAGGCCCATTGTTTAAGAACACAACTTTGCTCAAAAGGTGTAAAAAAAAGAACTCTGTGCTAATTTACTTTCTATTTTAACTCATTAGTTGTCATGTGCAGTAGGAGTCCTGACACATTAATCCTGATGTTCTTATTTCCAAATTTTTTGCTTCACTGGTCAGTGTTTTTGAGGTTGTTGAATTTGGCACTATTGATGCGACCGCTACTTGTTACATCCGTCGTGTACTGGAAAGTATTTTGCTACGGTGTAGTAACGATGCATTACGAGAAATCTTTGAAGGAGTTATCACTTCATCGAGACACAAAGTTTTTTCTGAAGGTTTGCATATCCTTGTTTGTATGATTTCAAAAGACTCTGATGATGAAGTCATTCTTTCTCGTATTGGTTTTTTAAATTCAATTTGGGGAGATGATAGATTATGACGTACTTTCAGTTCTCAACCTAGTTAGGTTTCAGAGCCTTAAGCTTTTCACTTAGCTTCTGACTGTGTAAAGAGAGGTCCGCATCTTTACGTTTCCTCTCTACACAATGCTCACTATTACAAAAAATCCAAAATATTAACCATAAAGGCAGAAAAACTGAAATAGTTCTTATTATTATTCTTAGCTAGTTATGGAAGCTTCCAAATTGTGTGGTAAGTTTTCGTTCCACTGCCTACAGTCGTTTACAGTGGACACCAAAGTCATACCGCTCTAGTTGAAAAATTTCATTATTGAACATTGGTTCATTAGAATGTCAACGAGTTCCACTCTTGTTTCACACTAATTTGGATAGGTGCTTGCCTTTGTCATCTTAAATTTGTTTGCATGGCCGTTGAGGACGTTGTAGAAATTGTTACACTTTTGTCTCTAAGAATTGAGATTGATGAACTTATAGGAGGGTTGTTTTTTGTTTCACTTTTCACGTGTCAAGTTTTTTGTGATGATTTGTACCTGTTGTGATTGTCTGGCTTTCACGCAGAAAAGCAGGTAATTTTTTTTTTTTGACAAGCAGAGAGTAGTGTTTTTTACATCCCGCAGAGTAATCACTATTGGTTACTGCTGTAGTTGATTTATATGAACAGTCGTAACACAGACGAAGTGGTTTCGAGACATCTGAGTTTAGAAAGTGAGAAACTTTGCTTCTTTACTCCCACAGACTTTGTGTTAACATATACCATAATTAATAGTGTGAGTATTAGTGTACTATCAATGTGAATAAAGCTGTTCATGCTGAGATTTTCCATTAAAAAGTATTTTTACTGTACAAAATCTTTGCTGTTTACAAACTGGGTATTGGAGACTGCTTACAGCGGATTCTGGTCCTACCGGTTAAGAAGTATTTGGCTTGAGACTAGACTTGCTTGCGAGTATATCTGCTCCTCTAAGGTTGTTGCCCGGTGCATTAGCAAAGCTTGAAGTGCCTCTCGCCGTGCCGTGCAACTGCGTCGGGTGCTAGAATTATCTAGACTTAGCATTTTAATTATTTAAGAAATTGATACTTAGAAAAAGAATGTGATGGTCCCCTGTTGACCCTGTCATTTTCTCAAATTTATCTTTTGGTGACTTAAGGATTCCTACAGGAGCGAGGCTTACAGAACTTCCAACGGCGGGGAACCGAGTATGGGAGGGGAGCGTGCTTGCGGGCACGTGAGGAGACTGTTGGACAGATCCTCAATGGTCTGTACACCTAGCGCCAAAAACTTTCTACCACTTTCGCCCAAAAGGCAGAGACATAGCCCATACACCTGCTTCTGATTTACCAAAAATGACCTCCTTTTATTTTGTCTCCTTGGAGCAGCCGAATATCCCCGCCTTACCAAGACCCTTTAAAACTGCGTCAAAGGACATTCACTACACTAAACACCGACGAGTGAATTATTCGGGAGCAAAAGAGGCCTCCTCTGTAAACGCAATGCAGATGTCAGTTTGCAGTCGTCGCTCCAAAATGATACAGGCCCAATCATTCCCTAGTAGCGGACATTAGAAGTCACTGGTTTAGCGCTACTCTCAGTCATAACTTCGATGTTCAAAGAGAGGTGTCTTTGTTGAAACTTAGAAGGAAAATTTGTACAGACATCTTGAGGCAAACGAGGATAACAAGACGCCAATCACTTCAGGGAGGCTTCACGCATTTTCTGATTGAAAAACAGTTCAAGAGCACCATCTAAATCTCTGTAACAGATACAAGCAATTTACAGCGAAAAGCAGCAGAAGCACAGAGATCTCACAACCATATTGAATATAAGCAAGATGCGGAAATCACAGAGAACTTCTAGAAATGAAATTGCATCACTTCATAAAATGTGCCTATTTTTAGTATGGTTCCAGATTACAACCGTCTCTTTACTGCAAAAGTTTTGGGGGCTACAATTACTGTTCAAAACGTGAGATTCAGTAAAATCACCCAAAGAGAAAGCCTTCACAAACAAAAGGCTATGTACAAGATAATATTGTGCATGCTCAGCAGCAAATTGACACCAGCTCTTAGGGTTAAAAAAAGACCGGGATTTGCCAGCAAAAGCAATAACAGAGATCGAAGGGAAAAGAGCAGTGAGTCAGCAAAGTGAAATACTTTAAACAAATAACTATCGAGAAGCACAACAGTGAGTTGAGTATTAATACGGAGTAAGAAAGTAATTTGTTAGGGCTAACTTAAAATTGTTGATACTGCTGTAAGTAAAAAACACATTTTTGTCGCTGAAAATCTAAGCAAACAGTGAAACAATCGTGCACAACTGAAAGAAACGACATTAAATTCAAAAAAAATGGTTTTTGACAAACAGTCTGCTGAGTGCAGCAGAAATCAGAAATAACTCCTGCCAAACAGGAAAGATTTACACGGATGAAATGGCGCAATAGAGGTTTTCTTGTGTTCCTGGTGTCATAAGTTCATCATCTTCCTGCACCAGCGTAAGGAAAACGTCTTCAAGAGATGTTTGTGCAAGAGAATAATCTAAGATTCCGGACTGAGAAGTCGCGAACTGCTGGACAAAAGCAAAAATCTCCGACCACCTGCAAAGGCAAGTACGAATATGTAGTTAACGGACAGGCGAAATGAAAAAATTATATTGAAAGAGGGAAGAAAACCTCTGCACCAATAAGCTTACTTGTCGGTTTCATTCATCGGAAGGTGCCACGTCAAATTTACTGAAGGATGGATGGTTTTCAATACAGCAGTAGGGAATGAGACAGTTACCGCCTGTATCACTGATTCAAAATCACTTACATTTTTAAGTGTAATGCTAAATGTATACCCTCGTCCAAATCTAAATAAACATGCGGAAGTAATGAAACTCACGGCAATACTTTTATGATACCACTGAAGGCACCGAATATAAATTAATACAAGCAAACATACTTCGATTTCAAATGCTGCGGTGTACCAAGTGCAATGAAAGAACCTTTAAGAAGTATGCCAATACGTGTGCACAGTGCTTCGCACTCCTCCATACTATGAGATGTTAGAACCATCGCACAGTTTTTATCCCTCATTGCACTCAGCAAATCCCAAATCTGCCTCCTGGTTTTTGGATCAATACCTGCAGTTGGCTCATCTAACAGCATGACTCGTGCTTGTGATATCACAGCTAGACCTACACTAAGTCTGCGACGCTGCCCTCCACTGAAACTTCCAAAATGAAACGAAATATAACATATAAAAAGCTAGGGTTTTTAAGCCCAAGAAAAACCTGTAAGTGCTAATTAAGCTGTCTGCTTTTTCTTTCAAGGCTGTAGCTTCAAGTACGTCGCCTACTCTTCTTTTAATATCTCCATAACCCCGAAGTGCAACCATTAAGCTCAATGTTTCTCTGCCTGTCAAGTCTTCCAAGAGAGCGTCAAATTGTGGGCAGAATCCAATAGCCTAAGAAATCAAACTAATTACAGTTTTTGAGGAAACTGGTAAGATTCTAATATTTCACCTTGACATTTCCCGCTGGCTGACCATTGATCACTACCTTCCCGAAGTTACAGAGAGCTTCTCCAGTAACAACTCTAAAAGTTGTCGTCTTCCCAGCCCCATTCGCACCTAAATGAAAAACAACGAAGTGATCTTCAGGACTAGGAACTCGATGAAAATGAATACTGCTTCAGAAATTAATTACAAATCACCGCAAAAAATGTCCTTTTTGATGAGGAATTAGATACCAAGTAATCCAAAACATTCGTCGTCTTCTACTCCAAAAGTCAAGTTCTTTACTGCACAAAACGATCCATAAAACTTATGCAGGTTCTGAACCAATAGAGCAAATTTACCCTCAGAGATCTCTTTAACACGCCTTCTTTCTTGCAGTACGTCATCATCTTCATCTGGCAAAGTCTAAAACAATGGAAGTGCGAGTAAGTGTCATCATTGAGAGCTTCAATGAAGAATAACATTTTCGGCAGTGACCGCAGCTTGAATTTTAAGAATAAACGCAAAACTAACGAAAGACAAGTAAAATGAAGAGTAAAATAGCTTAAGTTCCATTATTCACACCAAAGTGAAACACCATCTAGTAGAGAAAACTCGTACCGATATGGTTTTCCTGAAGTTCAGGACCCTGAGCACCAATCTGCTGATAATTCGCATCTCAAAACCAACAAGTAAAGTAATGAAGATCACCCCGTGAAGGAACAGTAAAAGCACATATTGGTAATAGGACTAAAAGCCAATAAATACGTAACATTGATGAGATTTTCCAATAATTACCGAACCAAAGAACCCGCTCAAATGCAGTGCATATTTTAAATACTCGCTACTGACACAAAGCATAAATCATATACAAACTGCATAACAGAAACTAACTAATTTGCAAATCTACCTTCCAAGTGTACGATGGGTTTTCTGCAAGGAGATTAAGAAGCCCTATCAGAAATGTGTACCCAGGCTCCAAAATCACAAACGTTGGCTGCAACCGAAGTGAAAATCACGTTATGGAACTTGTGGAATCAGAATAATAGAGCGTGGAATAAACGTTTTAGCTCAAGATGCGGAAATTCGTTGCAAAACTTACATGCAAGAAGCTGTGCCAAAACACAGAAAGGTCCTCGGTTAACTTGTCAATGGCAGCCATAAATATAGGAACCAACAGCAAATAAGCCACTATGAATATAAAAGCTTTCGACGGCGACGAAAAAACGATGGATGCACAGCAAACGATTGGCATGCACGTCCAAAACATGACGATAAAATAGAAAAGAATCCTGCAATAAGAGCAGCATGTCAACAGTATCATAGTTAACTTCAAGACATTTTTAGTCTAACTTTGAAAAAGTCAATGAGACGATTTCACTGAATAAATTTTTATAAGCATGATTAAACTAGCCCAGGAACCAACCCAACCGTAATTTTTCAAAAGAAAAACAGTTGATGTAAGGGAAATTAACAACCAACAAATGTTTCAAAAGGCATTCATGCTTTAAAAAATGTCAAGAAACTATCGATAACGTCAGGACGAAATGAAACTAAGGCACAGACAAGCAAAAAACTGAAGACATACGGAAAAGATACTGGGTAGTCATTGAGGAGAATAAAAATAGCTATTAGACAGAGCTGGAACATATATAATAGAAAGTTGAAGGCGAATGCTACAAACCAATACAGGAATGCACTTAACTCCGTTAAAAGCTGCTGAAAAAAATAACCAAACGAACATAGCAAAAATGATGCTCCACAGCGCAGATAGGCGAAAAAAAGCAAATCCAGGTACAAAGAATTACCTGATGCTTGAAATTTCTGGTTCTTTCAACTACTAGTTGTATGACAAAACCGCCAAACAGAAAAGAGATCAAAAAAAGAATAAGAGGAGCGGAAGATATTGCATCATTCGTTTGCTCAGAATATTCTTTCTCCACCTTTGCTTCTAACCTTTGAACACCTGCTATTTCGTAAGGCTTGAAAGACATCAAGATGCCATCTGAAAAAATCTTCATAATCAAATTAACGTTAATATTCCTAACCATAAAAAGCAAAGGTTTTTCAGATAATAACTCAATTTTATGACAAAACACTCTAAGACCCTCCCCGATCTACGTGGTGTATCCGCTAGAACATGTATTAACAGAAAAGTTTCCTTTCACTCCACCCTATTTTTTTAATCCAAAAGAACTGAATGAGTGGTATCTCTCAAAGTTGATTTAAGCATGTGTTAAGCCACGTACTTCTCTATGCTTCTATTATCGCGACCAGCAAAGACTACTATTTTCTAGCGGGATAAACCAGCAGAATTAATGTCCATTACCATCTCTTCAGAGTGCTTAAATGTGAGAGTTACAATATGCAGAGAACGTAAGCTGATCCCAAACCTTGGAAATTTCTTTTATTTAGGTGATGCTTCTCATAATCAGTTAGCTATAGTATATAAACCATTCTCAATCATCTGCAGCTCCAGAAAACTCAACCTGTTATTTAATACATGCGCTATTGAAAAACCTCATCTGCAACCGAATGCAAAAATAGTTAAAACTGCAAATAACCTGTTTTGTTTCCAAGTCGGATATTGCTAACAGAAGCCAGTGTAACTGCTGGACCCCTTCTTGCGTTTCCATTGAAAAAACCTTTCACATGCGTATTACGAGTAGATTCGTCAGAAATAAAGGTAAGGCCAATTCCCAAAGGAGGTAATATCTTAAAAAGTTCTAAGACGATGAAGGAGCGAACTTTTTAACAAAAAATAGAGTATATGTAATAAGTCCCAAACTAATTTTGAAACAACAAATTTGGTTGCTTAGCAAATGTGGTGGCGAACTCAGTTCATGTCTCTAAAAACGAAGTAAAAACTATGAACTCTTCCAAATGTTTCAACGCGGGGAACGTGCCCAATGCATTTCATAACTAAAGGCGAAATGCGGACCTTTGGTCTACTAAGAATGAATTTTTCCATACTGGTAGGAACAGCAAGCTGAGTAACTTGATAGTCCTTGATGCCCTTAAAGAATGTTTTAGCATTGTTGATGAAAAAGTTGGATTTATTCTGTGAATCCAAAAGCGCTACAGCAGGAGCCAGTTCAGCAGGATGAATATAAATTTCTGATGCTGAAAAGAGACTTAAATTTTATGATTGAAGAACTATTTGAGTCTACTAGAATTCCATTTTACGAAAACGAATAAGTATGATACTGCTGCTTTCTCAAGGAAATATTTGAA